CTGGCCCTCCCCAAAATTCATGTTCTTCTCACATGCAAAATAGATTCACTGAAACCCAGCAAGGCAAATGTCACAAAATGGTAAGGCTTGAGAATAATCCTCTGTGGCTGGACGTTCTGCCCCCAAGATGGGAGCCATCCCTTCCCTGGCCTCTGGGTCTAAGGAGGCAGCCTCTGGTTCTGCGCTGGCAGCTTCCCAGGCTCCTAAAGCACTGTCAGAGGATAGTACACATTCACAGCCAAATAGCTCCACCAGCCCATTTCCTGCCTGTTGCATCCCAGAAGTCTAACAGCCTTCCTTCCTTTTGTCCCATCTCTGTCCCCCTTTAGTCCAAGCTGGCAGTGGCAGTATTTCTGCTGAGAGAGTTGATTGGGTTCACAAGGCACACCCTTAGTATCCTCTCTAGAACACACCCTTGCATTTTCTAACATATGGATAGACTGAGAAACTTCTAAGTCTTCAAGTTCTGGTTCCTTTTTGCTTAATGATTCCTTCCTCGGTTTATCTTTCTCCGCTTGTATTTTACTAACTTCTGGCTCCTTTTGGCCTAACAATCCCTTCTTCAATTTATCCCCTTCTCTTGTGTTTTTGCTATCATCACAGGGAGAAGCCAGACAGTGCCTTCAGGGTTTTGCTTAGAAATCTCAGCTAAACATCTGAGTTTGTCAACTGTAGGTTCTGTTTTCTACCAAGCAGAACACAGTTCAGCCAAGGTTCTGCCACTTTCTATAAAGGATCATTTTTCCTCCAGTTGCCAACAACATGGTTCTCCTTTCTGCCTGAGACTTCACCAGAAACACATTTGACATTTTATTTGTGGCCATTTCTGTTCATGACAATGTGCATATTCTCTAAGGTCGATAGAGGCTTTTTCTACCTCTCTCTTCTTTTTCTCTCTGAGCTTTCACCAGAATCTCCTGTAATGCCCATATTTTTATAACATTCTCTTCTAGGCAGTCCAGCCTGTTTCTGTCATGTCTCTTCAGGCTCTTCCAGATTGCCCAATTCCAAAGCCACTTCCACATTTTTAGGTATTTGTTACAGCAATTCCCCCTACCCCTAGGCACAGTCTGTATTCATTTTGTAGGGTGACCACGACAAAGTACTTCTAACGAGGTGACAAATGTATTGTGTCCCTGTTCTGGAGGCTGGTAGTCTTGAGATCGAGGTGTTGGTCAGTTCCTTCTGAGGGCTGGTGGTTCGCCGCCACTCTGGCATTCCTTGGCTTGCAGATGTGTCACCCTGATTGATCTCTGCCTTCATTGTCACATGGTGTCTTCCTGTGTTTCTTCATTTAATCCTCTCTCTGTACATTCTCCAAATTTTCCCTTTTAATAAGGACACCAGTCATGTTGGATTAGGGCCCATTTTAATGACCTCATTTTAACTTTCTCGCTCTGGAAAGACCGTATTTCCAGATAAGGTTACACTGTAAGATACCAAGAGTTGAAACTTCAACCTATCTTTTGGGAAGAGCATAATTTAACCCATAACACTTATTAATAAATTATAATAAACATATGTTAGCGGTAAGTCAAGATTTTCAAACACAGAAGATCATTACTTCTGGATACATAAGATGCAGAACTTGGAGTAGAAATAGGTTATATCTGGGGTGCCTGGGTGGCTTAGTTGGTTAAGCGTCCGACTTTTGCTTACATCATGATCTCACTGTTCGTGTGTTCGAGCCCCGCGTCGGGCTCTGTGCTCACTGCCAGCTCAGAGCCTGGAGCCTGTTTGAGTCTGTGACTCCCTCTCTCTCTGACCCTCCCCTGCTCATGCTGTCTCTCTCTGTGTCTCCTAGAAATAAACAAACATTAAAAAAAAAAAAAAGAAATTGGTTATATCTTCTTTTTCCCTGTAGCCTCTAATTGAAAGCTAGCATTTCTTTCCATTTTGCATGTTGGCAACAAACCACAGTGCTAGTACCAGAACCTATAACCTTATTATATAGATCTTTTCATAGCCTATATCTTAGATCTTTTCATATCACATTACAGTTGTTGCAGATACTTCATAATATCGTTTATGATCTTCACTACTTTGAAATTGTGAATGATTTCAGTTTCCATTAGATATTGGAGTGCTCCAAAAAAAAAATAAGGAGACAATATGTTCATAGATAGGCACATATATTACTGTATAAAAATTTTAAAAGAATTTGGAAAACTGTATTTCAGCATAATTGCTCTGTGTTGTTTTAAAAATTTCTATTTTGTAAAAGGCCCATAGCATTTACCGAATTCTCAAAAGTTTCACTGCACACAAAAGGTTCAAAAACATTGTTCTAGCTAGTAGAGATAATGTCGTGAAACCATTCAGATAAATTTCCTGCCTCTGTGGAACTTTGAGGATCAGCGAAGAGGAACATATAAAACAATAAGCAAGAAGTAATCAGCAGAACTTCCCAGGTAGTCATGTGGCTGCAAAAATATATAATTTGGAAGGACAACAAAGGGTCCGACATGGAAGATCCAGGAACAGAGAGCATCTGGCAAAAGGTATAGATAGTGTACACCTTGAAGGTGAGGCCAGCTTGATGTGATCATGAAAGAACCAGAGGCCAGTATGGCTGGAGTTAAGTGGGTTTCCAGGGAGGGGAAATTATTCTAAGTGAGAGAGTAGGAGAAAGAAGAGAAAACACATCATGTAGAACATGTAGGCTAGGGTAAATAGGTTTCAACTTTATTCCAATTCCATTGCCTATCCACTAGAGATTTTTTTTTTCCACTAGAGATTTTTAAAAAATACGTAAGATGCACAAATGTGTGTATTTTATGTGAAATACACATAGCATAATTTACCATCTTAACCACTTTTAAGTGTACATATCAGTGGCATTAAGTACATTGACACGGTTGTGCTGTCACTGCCATCCATCCACGAACCTTTTCATTTTCATTCTTACCTCCACTAAGCACTAACTCCTCATTCACCGCATCCTCATTATTGGAGATTTTTGAGCAGGGCAGTGAGTGATAAGATGTGTTTTACATTTTAAAAATATAACTGTTTGCTCTATGGAGAAAACGTTGCTAGGCAAGAATAGAAGTATTAACAGGAAACTGGATAGGAAGTTCTTGCAGATGAGACGTGATAGCAGATGAACTACATACGGTGCTGGCAAAAGATGGATCTGACATGTAGTTTCAGTAAATCTACTTGCAGTAAACCAGACAGCATTTGATGATGAGCGGAACAGGTTTGGAGGAGGATGTGGGGTCTTTTCCAGGTATGTTAAATCTGGGTTGCCTATTAGAAATCCAAGTGAAGGTACCAATACAGTTGGGCATACAAGCCCAGAGCTTAGTCAGTTAAATGCCTGACTTCAGCTCAGGTCATGATCTCACAGTTCAGGGGTTCGAGCCCCATATCAGGCTATGTGCTGACAGCTCAGAGCCTGGAGCCTGCTTCAGATTCTGTGTCTCCCTCTCTTTCTCTGCCCCTCTCCCACTCATACTCTGTCTCTCTCTCTCTCTCAAATATAAAAATAAACATTTAAAAAAATGAAATTGCCTGAGACAACTGAGGGAGATGATATAGATAAAGAGGAGGTGCAGGAGTAATCCCTGGGGCACCTTCATCTTTTACAGCACAAGCCGAGAAGAAGAGGTTTCCTTCAAGGCTCCAGCCAAACCTGGTTTGGGCTCAGAAAAGAAAGCAAAGGTGCCTCTCAAAAACCCCATTGTACCTCTGGTTTTAGCAGGTCATACTGAGTCTGGCTAGAAGAAGGGTCTGTCCTGCCCCCTAACTTATGTCTATATTAGAATATCTAAGACAAGGATGGGATTGACAGAGCAGAGCAGGACCGAGGAGAAATTGTTAGCTCTTTGAAAGAGTTTAACACTTTTTGTACTTAGAAACACATTATCATCTAAGTGTAATTAGTAAAATGTGTATTTAAGGAAAGAAAAGGTAAATATTTCATCATAGAAAAGCTTTGAGCATCATTTGTCTTTCTTTACATTAATAATGCTAAATGTGCATTTTAATTATTTCTGTCATAAGATAGAGTATTATATATGTATTATATCTCAACTAATTGATTACTTGATCAGCAAGGTTTTAAGAAGTGGTCCAAAACAAGTGTGAAAAATCATATATATATATATATATAGGGTCAAGTAAGAAACATCTAAATGTTTTCATTTGAAGTCATTCTTGGTGGGGCACATGGGTGGCTCTGTTGATTAAACGTTCACCTTAGGCTCAGGTCATGATCTCACAGTTGGCGAGTTCAAGCCCCACATCAGGCTCTGTGCTGGCAGCTCAGAGCCTGGAGCCTGCTTCGGATTCTGTGTTTCTGTCTCTCTGCCCCTCTTCCACTCCCACTCTGTCTCTCTCTCTCTCTCTCTCTCAAAAGCAAACATTAAAAAAAATTTTTTTTAATGAAGTCATTCTTGGTATACCATCCCTAAATGTCTTCTTTGGAAAATCAATGTTATGATATAGGATATAATATAACTTAAGAAAGTCACGTTCCTGGGGTGCCTGGGTGGCTCAGTCGGTTGAGTGTCTAACTCTTGATATTGGCTCTAGTCATGACCCTGTAGTCATGAGATGAAGCCCAGTGTTGGGTGTGGCACTGAGGATGGAGCCTGCTTTTTCTGCCCCCCCTCCCCTCAAAGTAAAGAAATACTGTTTAAAATATCACATTATTTCTTTGAGTTGGGCACCAGAGCTGGAACTTTCTGGCAGGATTCCCGTGATTGATTGTGGAAATGTTGAATGTCATTTGTCTTGCATGGCAATGCTCTTTGAAATCCATGGCTCGCTAGTTATTTGGAAATCTCTTGCCCCTTTTGTTCTAGAAAATATTCTGGTTTTTGCCTGTGTTCCCCTTTGCCATACTGAAACATTTGGGAAATGGAAATAGAGAAGTAGTAGCTTCTTAGAAAAACTAGAGATGAATGGAACAGGAACTGCTAAATTAGCACAATGTAACAGGAACTGTTGATCTTATACATTATTGCTTTTGCTTATTTTTTGTCCTTTGCTAGGAGACCTGTTATGATGATGTATGTTATACTCACCACACTGCCCAGCTTCAGCTTTTCTATTGCAGTGACTGAGGTATGGAATGTTTCTTTATTCTGCACAATTTTTCAGATTTAAAAATTTCCTCTGTGACTGGAATATTATAGAACGGTGTGCCTGAAAATTTTCTTAAAGCTTATTCTATCTAGTCTTCTTCCAAGTACAATATATATATTTAAAGTACTAAGATCACTATTCCCTCTGTGATTGGGAAAGAAGGTCTGGCAACCAATTAAACATACCTTCTATGTTTGTGTGTGTGAGAGAGGAACGTTATTCCAAGATTGTAAAAAAGCAAGGAATTTAAAAGTAGATCCACATGTGTTGCTTTTAACCTAATGTTTTTCGAGTGTCTTCAGTTCTAAACAATATCCAGAGAGAATACCACTCACATTCTAAGACCTTTGAGAATATATCCCTTGCCTATGGATTTGTACACGATATTTATTTGAAAAGAAGCTTGACTTTGTGTTTTGACTAAATGCAGTTTCAAAAGGATTCTGATAAATAGGCATCTAAAGGACAGGGATATTATAGGCAGAACTTTGAGGTTGTGAGAATTTTGTTACCTAACAAGCTCAAAGAGGAATGTCCTACTAACCGTGTTAATTTGCACGAAGCTGCTAAAGATATAATTTTCACTTCCCCAAAGTGAACAAATTAAAGTACTTTATGTTTCATCTATATGTCAAGTCCATAGTTATTAAGTTCATATTACATGCTAGGCACTGTGTTAGGTGATAGGATAGAACACTCTGGAAATGTGACAGAATCTCTGGCCTTCATTAATTATTTATTGACAGTAAAGAGAAAAACAGTCAGGCTATTAGAAGAGTTATGATAGGTGTCACGAAAGGAGTGAGTACTGGATAGTGTATGATGTGATTAGAAATACCTGACCGTTAGAACACGTCCTGGATGCTACATTCGGACGTGAATGTATAGCTTTGGAAGGCTCTACAGAGGTACTTTGCCTTAAACAGCAATATGTGAATATTTTAATCTAGATTTATCATTTCTCCTCCCTCATCCCAAAAGACTCTGTAAAACACTTAGGAGGCTCCCAAGACCTTTAGAAATTCAGTGTACAAACTTTTAAGGAAACCTATTATCATAAAATGATGGTATATTTGTATTATGATTGCCCTTTTTGATTCTTTTCCATTATGTTCTTACCCACTGTTGCATTTCTTCCATCTTTTGTTTAATTTTTCACTCCAGTGTGATACAAAGTGCCTAGAACATAAGGTGTATAATATTAATGTAATACCACCTTAATGTAATACCCCTGTGTAAACACTACTCAGGGTCAAAAAATAAAACTTCGCCAGTTCCCTAAAAGCCACCCCTATGTTTTTTGCCTTCTACCTTAACTTCTAATTTCACAGATTGGTTTGTCTGTTTGGAATCTTTTGTAAGTGGGAATAAAATTCTCTCTCTCTCTCCTTTTCTCTTTCTCTATCTATCTATCTATCTATCTTCTATCTACCTAATTAATATGTGTCTGGCTTCTTTTAAGCATGGGTCATTCAAGTTTTTGTATACAATGGTATTCCATCATTTTAATTCTGTGGAGTGAATTTATTTGTTTCATTTTATGAATATGTTACAGTTTATCACTTCTGCCTTTGATGCCCACTTCAATTGTTTCTGGTTTTGGCTGCTCTAATTAATGCTGCTGTGAACAGCTTTGAGTATGTCTATTGATGCACATATGCAAGAATTTCCGTTAATATGCAGGAGTATAACTGAGGGGTCATAAGATATTCAAATGTTCAACTGTAGCAGAAAAGGCCAGTTTTCCAAAGAGATTCTACTAATTTAGACTTGACACTAGCAGAGAATGAACATACCTGTAGCTGCATACCTTAGCTTTAAAAACTTAGCCTTACATTCTAAGTTTCTTAGCCATTCTGTTGGGCATGTATTCTTGAGTCTCATTATAGTTTTAAGTTGTGTTTCCTCGATAACTAATGAAATTGAGGGGTGCCTGGGTGGCACGGTTGGTTAAGTTCTTGATCTCGGCTTAGGTCATGATCTCACAAATTGTGCTGATCAAGTTATCAGCACAGAGCCCACTTGGGATTCTCTTTCTATGCTCCCTTCCCCCAAACAGACAAAGAAACAAACATTTAAAAAATTAATGAAATTGAACACTTTTATCATCTTGCTATTTTTCCCTATTGTGTTACTTATTTTTTAAATCAATTCAGAAGTTGTTAATATATTCAGATCTCAAGCCCTTTGCTGATTATATATATTGCAAATATAGTCACACTTTGTGACTTAGTATTTTTAATGCTATTTTTGGTGAAGAGTTCTTAATTTAAAAATAGTCCAATTTATCAGGTTTTTTTTCCATGGATAGCAATTTTGGTAACTTGAGAAGAGTTTGTCTTATTGTGAATCTGAACCTCGAAGTCCTCAAGATATTCCCCTATATTATATTTTGGAACCTATATGATTTACCATTTTCTTTTAATATTTTAAAAATGCTTATTTTAGAGAGAGAGCAAGAGCACAAGCTGGGAAGGGGTGGGCGTGAGGGGAGGACAGAAGATCTGAAGCGGGCTCTATGCTGACAGCAGAGAACCCGATGCAGGGCTAGAACCCATGAACCATGAGATCATGACCTGAGCTGAAGTTGGACACTTAACCAAGTGAGCCACCCAGGCGCCCCTACCATTCTCTTTTAGATTCGCAATCCATCTGAAACTAATTTGTATGTGTTGTGCAGTAAGGAGTCAGTCCCCCCCACCCCATAACATCTAATGCACTGAGCACTATTTATTAAAAAGTCTGTCTTCCCACATTTCTCTGCAGTGCTACTTCTGTTATAAATCTGTGTATATATACATGGTCTATTTCAAGCCTTCTGTTTTGTCCACTGCCTACTTTTATATAACTATGCCAATACCACCTGGATTAAATTCGTGTAGTTTTATAATAGCTCTTTATATTCCAAAGAGTAAATCTTTATATCTTTTTCATCTAAATGACCTGTCCTTTATATTTCTATATGGATTTTAGAATCAGCTTCTTATTTTCCACAGAAACTGTGAATTTTGATTGAGGTTGCATTGAATGGTATCATTTTTTTTTAAATCCCATTTTCCCTTCATTGTATATGGAGATTTTCCCCATATAGTCTATGAAAGGAACTACATGTTCCTTTCTTTCCAATACTTGCAGTGTTTATTTCCTTCTCTTGCCTCATTACACTGGTTAGGACCTCTAGTGCAGTGTTGCATTGAATTGATCATGGTGGCACCTTTGTCATCTTCCAGATTTCAGAGGGAGAACTCTTAACATATCACCACTAATAGGATGCTTGCCATAAGTTTTATGTAGATGTCTTAGTCAGATGAAGGAAGTGTCCCAAAATCTGGCTGGGTTTACCTGGGCTCTCTCTCCTTAGAGGACCCTGAACTCTAATATCTATGCCCCTAATTCTTTGACCTAGGGACTCTCAGGCTCTGCTTAGCAGTAGAGTTGGAAGAAGTTGCCCATCCCACCATTACCAGGAGCCTGCACTTATATTTTGGCATGTATTTACCAAGCTTTCTCTTGAACTGGAAGCTCATCCACTGATAACAAATCTTGATTACATCTTTACAAATTGTTCAATAGCTAATAGAATTGAACACCTGAAAAGCTGGAAATCAAGCTTCTAGTCTTTTAGTAAATGTCTTTATAATTAATTTAATGTTGCTTCCAGACTTTTAAAAGAATTTTAAACAAAGAAAGCATGAAAAAGTAATGCTTCTAAATGGTTTTCTGAAAACAGGTCCAAAAGAATAAGAATCCCTTACCTTCTACCTTACCTGATCTGCCTGTTTCTTTGGTTCTGACTTCCTTGATTGTGGTTGATATTATTGAGAAACTCAGGATATATCCTCTTAAAGCCTGGCAAAAATGTAAGTATTCTTTTAAATATAGATATTTTTTAAAGTTTGACATATTGTTTATCTTTCGGTTGCCCCGTTATCTGTAGACATGTTAGTTGATATATTTTCTTACAGCTGACATTACAGGTAGAAGATTAGAAATGAAGATATCGATCAGCATAACCCCCTCAAGGTCCATCCATGTTGCTACACATGGCCAGATTTCATTGTTTCTCATTGCCATGTAGTATTCCATGGTATAGATAAACCACATCTTCTTGATCCATTCATCTGTTGATGGACACTTAGGCTCTTTCCATGTTTTAGCTATTGTGGAGAGTGCTGCTATGAACATTGGGGTACATGTGCTCCTATGCATCAGCATTTCTGTATCCCTTGGGTAAATTCCTAGCAGTGCTATTGCTGGGTTCTAGGGGAGTTCTATTGTTAGTTTCCTGAGGAACATCCACACTGTTTTCCAGAGCGAAATAAGTCAGGCAGAGAAGGACAAATATCATGTTTGCACGTATAGGAGGATTAGGAGGAACTTGACGGAGGAACAAGGGGGAGAAGAAGGGGGGAAATGGTGGGGGAAAGGGAGAGAGGCAAACCATGAGAGACTCTTGAATGCTGACAAAAACTGAGGACTGATGGATGTGGGGGGGTGGAGGGGATGGGCATGGAGGAGGGCACTTGTGGGGATGAGCACTGAGTGTTATGTGGAAACTAATTTGACAATAAACTATTTGTAAAAAAAAAAAAAAAAAGAAACTTACTGAAAGGAAAAAAAAAAAGAAATGAAGATATCGAAATATAATTAATTTGAAACCTACATTGATAGCTAAACAGTTATTCTTATTTGTATTTTGGTAGTACTGATACATTAATGAACGTAGCACATATTTAATACCAAAATCCTTAATGTTTACTCTAGCAAGAAAATTACTAAGTAAATTATTATAGATTTATATGTTTAGGAACTCTCTCAAAACCTTTCAGTTTAGGTGAATAAATAGAGTTTTGGATATCTTTGAGACAGAAATTAATGTGACTACTGCAGCTATGTCCTAGAGAATTATGCATTTTTAATTGCGGATTATCAAAAAGCCAAAGATCACACTAGCAAACGTCAGATAGGCCACATTCCTCCAAAGGGAACAGTCAAAATTAAATATACATTGGCCTTAAAAAAAAAAAAAAAAGATATTTTGTTAATTGAATATTTTCTTCGGTTGGTCTTAAATTTCTTCAACTTTCACTTAATTTCGTGTGATAACGTCCATGTTTAATTTATAATCTGTGAATGCCATAGTTCTTGTATGGCCACAATTTGATACATGAAATGGGTAGGTTTTGTCGAATCACTTCCTGGTGGGGTGGATGGGTTAAAGCGAGTGAGTCACCGGGGAATTCTGTAGAGTAATAGGGAGACCGCCAGGAAGGAAAAGACCAGAGAATCACTTATGGGTCATGAGCCACCACTGTTCTGCTTACTCTTACTCCTCACACTGAAAAATAAAACTGAGTTGGAGGCCACCAGGAAATCTGAGACCCCGAGCTTCCTATTTTGCACTTTGTCCTTAGGTGGGAAATGATGGTTGTTATGTTTAACATAACATAGGTGACAAGGTAGCTAAGATGGCAGGCACCTAGTGGCCCTCTGTTGAGGAAAAGGTACTCTCAAGTTACATCTGCCCTCCAGAGTCCAGTGTATTTATATCCAACTGAGGAGGTTTGGAAATTCTCACTTTCTTTGCTACTTCTCTAGATTCCTTCTCTATGCAAACCTATCATGAAAATGGATTGTTGTAAAAAATTCTCCCACGTTAATAACCTTCCATGTTAACATGTGAACATTCTGTCTAAGTTCTTAATGAACGGTCTCTTTTTTAAAAAATGTACATGGAAGAGCACCTGGGATCATTGGGTGGAGAGTCTGACTTGGTTCAGCTCAGGTCATGATCCCAGGGTGGTGAGATTGAGCACCGCATTGGGCTTCTGTTTCTCTCTCTCTCTCTCTCTCCTCTGCTTTTCTCCCCTGTTCTCACTCGCTCTCTCTGAAATAAAAAATAAAAATAAAAAATGTACATGTACATTTTTTGGAATAAGTTACTGGAATTTTACATTTTAAGCAATGAGTTGGATTGTTAAAGGAGAATTTTCCCTGTGTCCAGAAATGACTATCACATTGAGCATTGAAACAAGAAAACCCCAAAAAAGTCAGTCTTGGAGATAAAACCCGAGACCATGTCATACAACTGCTTTTTCTTATTTAAGAGCCTCCTTCTTGATCTCTTCTCTGCCCAACCTTGAGAGGGCTAATGTCTGGCTTAATAGCCCCACCATTTAATAAAATCCCACTTTAAAAAACTAGCCTTCACTCAAAATACCTCTGCAAATATTAATTATACACACATTTAATTTTTATACAAGCTTTTGAACTCAAGTAGTCCCCTCTACTCCTTTTAAACATGCATGATAACAAAATAGATTATGTGAGTTTTTGCATTTATGGTGTATTCTCATTTATCTTCTGGAACTTAATACATAAAGCCATAAGCATTTAAATTGTAATCCATAAATCTGAACATAAGCCATGATGCTAAAAATATGCTGTCGCTGCATGCGGTACTTTAGAATCCAAGAGGTAGGTTAGGGGTGGGTGGTGATCAAGCTTTAAAAACATTTGGCTCCCTCTAGAAAAGGTTGGGAAAGGGACCATATTTTGTTCTGTGCTCTGTCCGGAGAGTTTGGAAGGCATACTATCATACTATCAGCTTGTAACAGTTATGACCTTGTACTAGAGGGAACTCAGGCAATCTGCAGGGCTTGGATTTATGGACACCCTGTGCCATCCCGCCCACCTTGATTCCAAGCTACAAAAGCTTGATCTTTGTGTAGCTTTTCCTTTCCTAAGATTTGAAATCGGAGTTCTTCTATATTTAAAAATATATATGCTGATGCTTAAAGCAGGCTTAACTGGCTCAAGGAATCCTTTCTGCTAACTTTCTGTTACCAGTTGAAATATCTCAGTATCAGGTGATTACCATGCCAGAACATTTCCGTGCCTTGTTGCACATGGCCTGAGCCTCACACGGGAATATTTTCTGGAACACAGATCTCTGAGGCATGGCCATCTCACAGATGGCATACCTTATACTGGCAAGTCCCACTGGTGGGAACACATTGTAAGAATACATTGTAGAGCCTGAATGTCCCCAGCTCTTATTAGTATGTGGGTACAGACGAGCACACGTGGATATTTCTCGTTGAATTTTGTTAGCTCAGTCCCAACCAGTGGATGGCTGGGCCTCCATCTCTCTTTGTCTTCCATATTGCTCCCTCTCCCTTTTTTTAAACCGGACCTAACATGAGTCTCCTGCGGTCTCCGGACTGCTGAATATTCCATCGTTCCTGCTCTTTTTCTGTTCGTCATTCTCATGCACAAACAACTTGGCATGCTGTTTTTCCACCCCTCTTCCCTGACTCTGTGCTCTAAACACTTTGTGTCCTGCTATTACTTGCCTCCCAGGGAATATCATAGCTTCTCCTTACATCAGTCTTTTTTTTTTTTTCTAATTTTTAAAAATGTTTATTTATTATTGAGACAGAGAGAAACAGAGCACGAGTGGGGGAGGGGCAGAGAGAGAAGGAGACACAGAATCCGAAGCAGGATCTGTGCTGACAGCTCAGAGCCTGATGTGGGGCTCAAACCCACAAACCATGAGATCATGACCTGAGCCGAAGTCAGACACTTAATCGACTGAGCCACCCAGGCGCCCCAACCTTACATCAGTCTTAACCTATATTGTTTCAACCCCAAATCATGGTCACCATTGATTCCCTTTGCCCCCACCTAGATTCCCTAACCTCCATAAAAACCAGTAAATGCAAACAGACACACAAATAAGTCAAGGGTTGGATGCAGAATTTCAGTTCTACCTTCAGGGACTCACGTGAACAGCATACCTTGAGTACCATGCTATAAGTGGTAGAATAGAGTATAATAGATAAAGTACTGTGGGGCTACACGTGAAGAAATACTTGATTTTATCTATGGTGTCAGGGAATATCTGGAATTTGTAATTTAGGCAGGCTTGGTGAAGAAAGCTTTCTGCACAGAAGGAAGATTGGGCCTCCAGAAACTCAGGACTACACGTAGTAAAAGGGCAAAAATAACCAGTTGGATTTCACAGTCTGAATGGAAAAATCTGTTGAGGTGAAAGTTGCCGTCTTAAAACCAACTACTGTTTGTTTCCCAAGTAGCCGCTTCGGAAGCCTGCAGAGCTGATTTATAGGGGTCTGTGGGCTTTTCTGGAGTCCCTGCTCGCTCTCATTCCTACTTGAACCACACCAGCACAACGTTTGTTTGTTTAGGGGTTGATATCTTGTGTAAGATTTCATTTGAAAAAAAAAAAAAAAAAGGTTCTTCTCAGTGTCTGAAAACCATTCATCACGGACCTCATTTAGATTCATAGGCTGTAGCTGTCCGTAAGGCAGTACTGTAACTCAGGTGGCCAATTCTCTACCTCTCCAGCCTGTGGCTCCCTGGAAATCGTGATGCCGCCCACCCAGAGGCAAAGTGCACCCTCATCCAAGGTCTTGTGTTTCCTGTTGCTTTGGGGGTATGATGCAGTAGTATACAATACCATACAACACCCTAAAGCACACTACACTACAGCCTTGCGGGTAGAGCAGGCCAAGCCTGGTGGAGCCTACACTGGTTTTGAGGCCCAACACATATTAAAAAACCAGATCAAAATTTTAAGATTCCATTTTGAATCGTTCTATTTTTAATGTTTTCTGTTTTCCCAAAGTACGTATTTATTCTTAAAAGAGCGTCAAATAAACACAAGCGAAAGAGAAGAAAATGGAACTCCACCAGGGTCCTGTGACCTGAGAGTGCTAGCCGACCCCATCTCCGTAAGCATGCTTCACTTAAGGAAACCCACAGCGTATCCCTTTCCTTAAAAATAGGTGGCGGGTATCATCATTTCTATGAGTTGAGTGATATTCCATGATATTAATGA